CAAAAAGTGCCATATTTTGATCCCAGAGAGGTAAAAATTAACTTCATATATCCCAACCTGTAATTTACCCATGGAATTCTGTTGGGATGTCCTGTAGTCCCCGAGACCTGGGTTTAAAAACCTCCTGCCCTGCAAAGTGTTCCAGAGTAAGGCAAAAACACCAAAGAAGCTCCAGCTCCCTTCAGGTACAGCTGCTGCTCTTCCCCATGGCAAGTACAGGTAAAAGGGGCTTTTTTTGGAACACAAAGCTGTGTTAATGTAAACAGGATTAAGCTTAGCTCCACCATAATCCTGAATAATGTGTGTTCTGTGGAGCACACCCCACACCAGGCTGCTTTTCCTGTGAAAAATTCTGGGTTTGGAAGAAATGTTGGTGAGAAGCTGAGTAGTGAAGGATTTTGGGCCTTCCAGCTTCAAAAGTTGCCCTTGGGGTTTCTGCTGAGCTCGGGGGCTTTGTCCCTTCATGCATTTCACAGTACTTGGCTTTTTTTAGGTCACTTAACTTTTATTTCTGATAAATTTCCTTGGGAGGTTCAGTCACATGCTCCCCTCAGCTGCCAGCACTGACAGCTCCTCTCTGGATTTCTGAGTTCTGCAGCAATCCAGGGCTCTTGCTGAAGTCCCTCAGCCTGCCAGGATTTTGGGTACAAACTTAGGAAACGCTCTTCAGTCCAACTGTCTGAACGTCTGCAGGAAAATCTGATGTTTAATGGAAAGAACCCAAAACCAACCAAGGGAGTCTGTAAATGAGGTGTAAGTCTGCAGAATTACAGCAGCCATGGGAGTGAAACGACTCTGTCCTGGTGCCATCCCAATTCCATTGCCTCAGAAGCCTCCTTTAAATGCTCATTGTTTAAAATGTAACTGCTCTGGGATGGCTTTTTTATTTTTTACTAATAATAACAGTGACAACCTCCTCCTTCTTTTAAGAGACTAAAATCTTGCCAAAAATTCTTTTTTTTGTGAATGCACGAGGAATGTTCTGAGAGGAGGAACAGAAAACAAACTGCTTGGTGAAAGGGATTTTCCTCTAAATGAGGCAGAAGTGGAAGAGCCACAGAGACTCCTCCAAAAAGTGCAGATTTTCTGCAAGCAGGGAGGAGCTGTGTCCTTGGGGAATCAGTGCCAGTCCCTGAAATGATTAGAAAGATACAAAATAAAAACTTGTGGAGTGTAGGAGTGTCAGGGGTAGGAGGGTCAGGATGGATGGAGATGAGAGATCTCTGAAGCCAGAGCTTGGAATTTGTGGGTTATTGCAAAGGGCCAAGTGCAGGGCCCTGCTGGGAGCTGCCAGCCACAGCTCAGAGCAGGCCCCAAAGAGGGCAGGAGAGTGGTAAAGAGAGTGGTAAAGAGAGAATGAGAGAGTAAAAGAGAGGATCAGAGGGCGAGGTTCCCGTTACAATACAATAAATCTTCTTCTGGTCTTGGAATTTGGGGTTTATTGCAAAGGGCCTGGGTACAGGGGCCTGCTCTGCAGGAATGAGAGAAGAGAGAGGGAGAGAGGATGAGAGGGTAAGAGAGCGAGGTTCCCATTACAACACCATAAATCTTCTTCTGTGCTGAATATTGTAATTCTCACTGACCAATCTAGTACAAGATACAAATCCTGCAGCATTTACACACAGCCTATAAGAATCATTACATCACCAGCCTGTGTTACATTTTACACAAGCTCTTTCCTCACCAAGCCTTGCAAAGCAAGGCCAAGCCTTTCTCAGAGCCCCAGAACCTCTGTGTCCCCCTCATTCAGGGCTCTGAAAACCACTTGCTTGCCATTATCTCTCATTTGTTTGTGTACAAACTTTATATTTAACCTTGTAAGGAGAGTTAAGCCACATTACATCACCATCCTGTGTTACATTTTAAACCCTAAAAACTCCTCTTTGGGCCCCTTCTGCCAAGCTGTAGGGTCTGCTCTGACCCTTGGGCCTGTCTGCAAGCAGAGGGTGTTGTTCCATCAAAAGGGGATTACCTTCAGTGGCCACACCATTGTTTTCCAGTTGTTCAGTAACTGAGGGATCTCAAAGCTTGCTTTCATTTCAATCTCACTTACAGTTTCTATATTCTCAAAATCTTTTGCCAGACAATCATATTTATAAATATTTCCTGTTCCATCTCGCCCAGCAGTGGGGCTGGGCATTGCTGCCACCTCAGCAGGAGAAGCTGCAGAGCCCCTGCCCAGGCCAGGCCAGCTCTGCTCCAGCAAAGATGGATCAGATCTGACATTTCTGCTCCCTTTTGTGCCAGAGCCCCCAGGGCAGCCCCTTGGAGCCCCCCAGGCCGTGCTGAGTGAGCAGAGCTGCCTCCCACAGCTCCAGGCGCCTTCCTGAGCCAGCCACCAGTGATCCGAGCTGGATTTCCTCTGTCAGGATCATTCAGAGCCGGGCTGTGACCAGACTGTGACTTTGATGGGCTCTAAAAGCATCAGCCCTGCTGAGATCATATGGGATGGGGGCTTAAAAGCTGCTGCATGGGCACAGTCATGGGGAGCTTAGTGAAAAGGGAGCTAATCCCATCAGTGGATGGGTTTGTTCACCCTCCATGTGCCGCTGCACCCTGCCCAGGGGATGGCAGCCTCGGCAGCAGCCCTGCAAGGGTTACAGGGAGGGCTGCAAAGGGAAAGGCACTGGCATCTGCTCGTGGCCTTGGGGTCATTTGTGCCACATGGGTCCTCAGGGTGACCAGGAACCTGACTTTGGGTTTCCCTGGTCCAAATTTGAGTTTCCCTGGTCTGAATTTGAGTTTCCCTGGTCTGAATTTGAGTTTTCCTGTTCTGAATTTGAGTTTCCCTGGTCCAAATTTGAGTTTTCCTGCTCTGAGTTTGAGCTGTCCTGGTCCAAATTTGAGTTTCCCTGGTCTGAATTTGAGTTTCCCTGCTCTGAGTTTGAGTTTCCTTGGTCTGAATTTGTGTTTCCCTGGTCTGAATTTGTGTTTCCCTGCTCTGAGTTTGAGTTTCCCTGCTCTGAGTCTGAGTTTCCCTGCTCTGAATTTGAGTTTCCCTGCTCTGAATTTGAGTTTCCTTGGTCTGAGTTTCTCTGGTCTGAATTTGAGTTTCCCTGCTCTGAATTTGTGTTTCTGTGCTCTGAGTTTGAGTTTCCTCGGTCTGAATTTGTGTTTCCCTGCTCTGAGTTTGAGTTTCCTTGGTCTGAATTTGAGTTTCCCTGCTCTCTCCCACCCACAGCATCCCTCCTGAGCTGCTGCCCAGCCCCTGTTCCTGGCTCCCAGGCCCCAAGGCAGCCTCCCTGCATGCAGGAATAGAAACTGGGCCACTGGAAATGCTGAGGCGGCTCCCGGGCTGTGGAGGGGCTGTACAGGAGTTCCAAAGGAGCCACGCTGGGAATGGTACAGGGGGAGGCTCTTGTCTCTCCAGGAATCCTCCCCTGCTTGTCCTGGAGCTGTTAAATGAGCAGACAATCGCTAAATTGTTAAATTGTTAAATAATCAGGGTTCCCTGCCCCTGCACGCTGGGTTCCTGCTCTGGGAATGAGCAAACCCCCAAAGTGAGGGGATGACAGCGCTGGTGTGGCTCCAGTGCAGCTGAAATGCAAAACTCCGTGAGTTCAGCTCCAATTTAGATGAAATACAAAGCTCTGGGGGTCAGCTCCAATGCAGATGGTGAGAAACGAACCGTATTTATCTCACAGACGAAATGCAGAGCTCTGGGGTCAGCTCCAGTGCAGTTGAAATGCAAAGATCTGAGAGTTCAGCTCCAATTTAGATAAAATGCAGAGCTCTGGGGTCAGCTCCAATTTAGATGCAATGCAAAGCTCTGGGGTCAGCCCCAATGCAGATGGGGTCAGCTCCAATGCAGTTGAAATGAAAAGCTCTGGGGTCAGCTCCAATTTAGATAAAATGCAAAGCTCTGGGGTCAGCCCCAATGCCACAGATGCAATGCAAAGCTCTGGGGTCAGCCCCAATGCAGATGGGGTCAGCTCCAATGCAGTTGAAATGAAAAGCTCTGGGGTCAGCTCCAATTTAGATAAAATGCAAAGCTCTGGGGTCAGCCCCAATGCCACAGATGCAATGCAAAGCTCTGGGGTCAGCCCCAATGCAGACGAAATGCAAAACTCTGGGGTCAGCCCCAATGGCACAGGTGAAATGCAAAGCTCTGGGGTCAGCCCCAATGCAGACGAAATGCAAAACTCTGGGGTCAGCCCCAATGGCACAGGTGAAATGCAAAACTCTGGGGTCAGCCCCAATGGCACAGGTGAAATGCAGAGCTCTGTGGTCAGCTCCAGTGCAGCTGAAATGCAAAGCTCTGGGAGTTCAGCTCCAATTTAAATAAAATGCAAAGCGCTGGGGTGAGCCCCAATGCAGTTGAAATGCAAAGCTCTGTGATCAGCTCCAATGCAGATGCAATACAGAGCTCTGGGCTCAGCCCCAGTTTAGATGCAATGCAGAGCTCTGGGGTCAGCTCCAATGCAGATGCAATGCAGAGCTCTGGGCTCAGCCCCAGTTTAGATGCAATGCAGAGCTCTGGGCTCAGCCCCAGTTTAGATGCAATGCAGAGCTCTGGGGTCAGCCCCAGTTTTAGATGCAATGCAGAGCTCTGGGGTCAGCTCCAATGCAGATGCAATGCAGAGCTCTGGGCTCAGCCCCAGTTTAGATGCAATGCAGAGCTCTGGGGTCAGCTCCAATGCAGATGCAATGCAAAGCTCTGGGCTCAGCCCCAGTTTAGATGCAATGCAGAGCTCTGGGGTCAGCCCCAGTTTTAGATGCAATGCAGAGCTCTGGGGTCAGCTCCAATGCAGATGCAATACAGAGCTCTGGGCTCAGCCCCAGTTTAGATGCAATGCAGAGCTCTGGGCTCAGCTGTGCCAGCCCAGCACCCCTGTCCTGCTCTCTCCTCGCACCCTGAGCTGCCCCAGCAGGCAGGGCTGGCAGCCAGGCTCTGGGGTGACCCCTCTGCTCTGTGCTCCCCAGGGCAGGGGCTGAGATCTCTGAAACCCAGAGAGAAAAGCGAAATCCCTGCAATGCAAACGTTCTGGTTTCTGTTTCAGCAACAGCTGCAGGCCTATGTGGCCTGGGTGAATTCCCAGCTGAAGAAGAAGCCGGGGGTGAGGCCAGTGCAAGACCTGAGGCAGGACCTGCGGAATGGGGTCACCCTTGCCCTGCTCATCGAGATTGTAGGTCAGTGCTGCCATCTGGCCCTGCTTATCCCCCTCAGCTCTGGCTCTGGCCTGCAGGGGCTGCCCTGGCTCTGGCATCTGTCGGGCAGATGTTGCTGGGGGTGGCAGAGCTGGCTGGGAAGGAAAACAATCACAAATCAGATCACAAATGCAGTTTTATTAGAGCCCTTATGGCTCAGAGGCAGTTGGAGCAGATGGGCAAGGCTGGCAGGGGCACTGGGAGCTCCCACAGGGAGTTAGGGGTGGTTTTTGGGAAGAGTGACCTGTGTGCTGATGGCATTGGGCAGGGGGACAGGGAATGGGGCTGCAGTGAGTTCATTGTGCTCACTGCTCCTTCCTGCTCACCCCCAGCCCCTGCCCCAGTGGGGGACGGCTCTCCAAACTCCCCCCAGGTGGGTCTGTCCCATTTGGCACCAGCTGAGCCCTTCCCATGGAGCTCAGTCCTTTGGGAAGAGGCAGCTCCAGCGTGGGTCCCTCAGGGAGCCACAAATCCTGCCAGAATCCAGCCCCAAAACCTTGTCATCATCCCAACACAGCCCCAAACCCAGTGACTGCTGGGGCTGGTTCCTGTTAAACTGGACCAGTCACTCCTGGTGCTGGTCCCTGTTAAGCTGGACCAGTCAGTCCTGGTGCTGGTTCTTGTTGAGCTGGACCACTCCTGGTACTGGTTCCTGTTAAACTGGACCAGTCACTCCTGGTGCTGGTTCCTGTTAAACTGGACCAGTCACTCCTGGTGCTGGTTCCTGTTGAGCAGCACCACCAGCCCCATGCAGCACCAGCCATGAGACCAGAGCAGTGCCAGCGATTCCCCTGGCAGTGCCCAGAGCTTCAGCTCTCCTCTTATAAAGCTTTTTCTCTCCCTCCAGCTGGTGAGAAGCTGAGTGGCATCGAGCCCAACCCCAGCAGCCAGCAGGAGATGAGGGAAAATGTGGAGAGAGTCTTGCAGTTCGTGGCATCCAGAAAGATCCGCATGCACCAGACGTCAGCTAAAGGTGTGTGGCCCTTGGGGGGATTTCTGCTGCTGAAATTCTGTTTCTGGCTTTGTTTTCTATCTTATGAGTGAATTCATGTGTCAGTTTGTGGGGCAGTTGGAAGTTTTCTCCCCCTCTGGTTTAGTGACATTTTTGGGTTGAAAGATGGGGAATGCAGAGAAAAAAAAAAAGTGACTTTTTTCCTGCTACTGAGCACTCAGAAGCCCAGTCAATGGTGTAATGAAAAATACAAGCCTGGAATCCTTCACCAAAAGGACACATAAACCTGCTAGAGTGAAAGGAGACGTGGAAAAAATATTTGTGGTTCACTGGAAGCCGTGGGCTGGAAACAGAGAGGAGACACAACACACAATCACATGTCTGTGGCGTGGCTTAGTCGGGACTTTGAGCAGCTCTGACTGAATTGTTTTGGGAAATCTTGGTCTGGGAGAGTGGCTGATCTTTGCCATGACATCAGTGTGCTGGAAAACACTCGTGTGATCTCACTGAATGTGATTCATTTACATTTGCAGGGTGCTGCAAACAGCTGATGGCACAGGATGCCACCACTGGAGAGATGCATTGCTGTTTGCCTTTAGTGTTTTAAAAAAGAGAATTCTCTGCCAAGAAAGTCAGTGGCAATCCTCAGTAACTGCTGTGCTCCTCAGTGAGCACTCAGTAATTACATGTCCAGTAATTAACTGCTGGAAATGGCCATGAAGGGAGGCTCAGGGCTGTGCTGTGGAGGTGGCAGCACTTTGCAGTGCCCTGCACCACCAGGGCTGAGCTGTGGCCCCTAAATGACAGCACTGGTGTGGCTCCAATGCAGCTGAAATGCAGAGCTGTGGGGTCAGCCCCAATGCCACAGATGAAATTCAAAGCTCTGGGGTCAGCTCCAATGCAGAGGAAATGCAGAGCTCTGGGGTCAGCCCCAATGCCATAGATGAAATGCAAAGCTCTGGAGTCAGCTCCAGTGCAGATGAAATGCAAAGCTCTGGAGTCAGCTCCAATGCCACAGAGGAAATGCAAAGCTCTGGGGTCAGCTCCAATGCAACTGAAATGCAAAGCTCTGGGGTCAGCTCCAATGCACATGGGTTCAGCTCCAGTGCAGATGCAACGCAAAGCTCTGGGGTCAGCCTCAATGCCATAGATGAAATGCAAAGCTCTGGAGTCAGCCCCAATGCCACAGATGAAATGCAGAGCTCTGGGGTCAGCTGTGGCAGCTCAGGCCTCCTGTCCTGCTCCTCCTCCCACCCTGAGCTGCCCCAGCTGCCTTTCCCTGTCTCCATTTCTCCTGCAGCACCCGCAGCTCTGCCAGCACCCCCGTTAACCACCCAACCATTTGCGTTTCGCAGATATCGTCGAGGGCAACTTGAAATCCACCATGAGGCTGATCCTGGCCTTGGCTGCTCACTTCAAGCCGGGCTCTGGCAGGGCTGGCAGCGCCGGCTGGGGGGGCAGGGGCTGGGCAGCCCCCCCGGGCCGGCCCCGGCCGCGCTCGGCCGCCGCGGTGGCGCAGGGCGCGGCGGCCGCGCTGGCCGACGTCCGGCAGGACGTCCAGCACTCCGGCCGGGACCTGCTCAGGCACAGGCACAGGTGAGGCTGCTCTGGGGATCTCTGCTGCTCACAGCTGAGGCAGAGGGGAAGTTTTCCAGGGTGGAAATCTGTTTTGGTTTAGGTGGAATGTGCGTCTTTAAGTGTGTGGCTGTGACAGTGGTCACAGGGGTCTTCAGGTGAGGGGAGAGACGAGGATGTTGGCTGTATGTTCAGAATGATTTACTATTTTATGATATATACATTACATTATAACTATACTAAAAAGAATAGAAGGAAAGGTTTTCTCTCAGAAGGCTAGCTAAGGATAGAATAGAAAAGAATGATAACAAAGGCAGCTGGCTCGACAGAGAGCGAGAGCCAGCTCTGCCATGACTGGTCACGAAATCCAAACATCCACAAGAGACCAATCACAGATTCACCTGTTGCATTCCACAGCAGCAGATAACCATTGTTTACATTTTGTTCCTGAGGCTTCCCAGCTTCTCAGAAGAGAAAAAATCCCAAGAAAGGATTTTTAGTGAAAAGATGTCTGGGACGTAGCTTGCGGTGTATTCTGGCTGCAAAAGCCCAGGCTCAGAGAAACTGCTTCGGTGAAGGACAGAGATAAGGGAGAGAGAGACAGAAAGTGATAGAGAGAGACAGAGACTGCTGTGAGAGCAGGTACCCCTGACCTAGGAATTCCTTCTGATGAAGAAGAACTAGCAGCAAATGTCACACAAAATTCGTAAAAATGAATATGTATGAACCAATTGTGAAATTGTATGCAACATGATGAACAAGATGAACCAAACTCCACAACTCCAAAAGTTGTGGAGTTTTGTTCATCTCTGCAAAACACAGTGACCCCCAGATGTGTTAGAAATTCTCTTTTCCCAGCCCAGCAGTTGAAAAAGGAGTCAGAACTCTTCAGTTCTCATTCTCCAGGTTGTTTATTGTTCCTTGTCTATAAAATTCTTTTGCTGACCTGCCCAGGTCTGTCTGGCAGGTTGGGTTGAAGCACTCTGGTGTTATCTTTTATACTAAAAACTACCTGTACAATATTTACCATAACTTCCCAATAGCTATCACCTATGTTGGACAGTGAGCTTCTACTCTAAACCAATCCAAAAGTGCCACCATCACAGCAGAAGATGGAGGCCAAGAAGGAGAAGGACAGGATACACCCAGATTCCTCCATCTTGGGACCTCGAGCCCCCATTCTAAAACCCCCAAAAATCTATTTTTCACTCTGTGACAAACTAACTATTATTCTACTTAAACTCTCTTGACTTGTAATTCTCCATATAAGGTTGGTAATTGTTTTTTCCAAGGGCTCAATCAAAGGCACAGGGGGCTGGGGCTCTGTGCCAGGGTCTCTGAGCCCCCCGAGCAGGGGCTGGAGCCCTCCAGGGCAGCCAGAGGAATTTCCTGGGTTCCAACACCTGGGAAGGTGCTTTGAGCTGTTTTATTTTCCAGCATCAGCTTCATTCCATGGTTATGACAATGGGAAGATGCCACCAGCTCACATCCCAGGCAGCAGACAAAAAACTTAATGTTACAACTCACTTTATAAGTTTTTTGACCAATCACACAAAGCAAAAGCACATTGACAGTAGTTCCATCCAACCACCATAAGCACAGGTACCTTTGGTTAAACAATGCTTGCTTATTTCAAATACAATACCTGCTTGTAAGCCTTAAAACACAACACACAGAGCTCCATTATTAAGCTTAGAACTCCCTAATATCTCACTTTAGATAAACTTTTCTGTAGCTTAGGGAGTTATTCTAGCCAAGTGTTAATACACAGACCATTGTTCTATTTGTCCTTACTTTCTACTTCTCACATAATTTTTCTTCTGACCAATCGCATGGTACTGCTCAGCTCCAATCACAGTTCTGCTGTCTCTGAGGCCTTTTGCAGCTTTCCCAAACGCCTCTGATTTTAAGGACTCCCACATAAATGTATCTTTGCCACTTCTCCAGGTGGCTGCTGAATCCTGGGGTGCTGAAAATCCACACACACACAGGGAATAATGCTGAAAATCCCATTTTCCCCTTGCCAAAGGTGCTGTGGGGGTGACAATAACAATAATAGCAGTGACATTTAGCTGGGAGCCAGGTGCTGGGGCTGTGCAGGGTTTCATTTACACAGCTGAAGGTCATTCCCCATTTGATACTGGCTCGAGGGAGCACCCATGAAACAGCCTGGAAAGGAGGCTGAGATGGTAACTGTGGTTGGAAAATGAAATGTTAAAGGTTTCCCTTGCAGTTCTTCAGGAAAGCCAGTCCTTGTGATGTCTCCTTGCATTCTCAGAACTTTTGTAGTTTTATAGTCACAGAATTAGGGATGAGTTTAAAACAACAAGGCCTGTTTGCCTGTTTTCCCTTAACACCAAGAAGATGGGGATCCCTGATGGGAAAATTGGCATTTTTCTGGCTCTCTCCTCCCTCCTTTTTTTGGAGAGACAAGATTTCCAGCAGCACCCAGGTGAGGCTCCCCTCATTTTGTGCCTGTCACCCCCAGGAGCAGCAGCGTGGACGAGGAGATTGAGAATCCCTGCTGGAGCGTGCGGGCGCTGGTGCAGCAGTACGAGGGGCAGCAGCACGTGCCCCTGGAGCCCCACCCTGCCAGGTGAGCAATTTTACTGCCAAAGTGTCTCCTCTCCAAAATGTCACCCTGCCAGGTCAGCAGTTTCATTGCCAAAGCGTCTCCTCTCTGAGATGTCACCCCGCCAGGTGAGGAAATTAGGAATTTTACAAATAAAATGTCTCCGAGATGTCACCCTATCAGGTGAGGAATTTAGGAATTTTATAGCCAAAATGTCTCCGAGATGTCACCCTGCCAGGTGAGGAATTTAGGAATTTTATTGCTGAAGTGTCTCTTCTCCAAGATGTCACTCTGCCAGGTGAGGAATTTAGCAATTTCATTGCCAAGGTGTCTCCTCTCCGAGATGTCACCCTGTCAGGTGAGGAAATTAGGAATTTTATTGCCAAGGTGTCTCCTGTGCCTGACATTGCCTATAGTGCCTGTTCTCCTCACCAAAATCCACTCAGTTCTGATGGAAAAGGGCATCCCTGGCTGTTTCTGGAGGGTGAAAGCTCAGGAATCAATGTGAAGCAGTTTTCTGTGAGAAAATGCAGCCAAAAAGGGCTTTTGAAGGAAAATTGCTCCAGTGAGGGAGCTGATCCAGCATGGAGAGCTCTGTAGTAAAGGGAAGCCGCTCCCTTTGCCCCCAGAGAACCAGAAACCACTCGGAAGAGCCAGAGCTGAGTTACTGAACAACTGCACTCCCTCTGGAAATGGAGCTGTGCTCCAGTGCATCTCATCTGGAGCAGATTCCAGGGCAGGGCTGCTCGTGGGGAGCTGCAGCTCTTTGCCTCAGAGCCTCCCACTGCCCCTGGAAGCCCCAGCTCTGATTTTCCGTGTCCTTCCCTGCCTGGGCTGTTCCCCGAGTGCCTCCTCCCGTTTGTGAGGGAGTGAGGAGCTCATTTGCCAAGGACAGATTGCCGCTGACAGCCTCTCAGCAGGCACGACGTTCCCCCAGCGTTTCTCAGGCCAATTTTTACACTCCACAGCACCGATAATTCTCCGTGTACCTGGAAATTAAGGTTGCTTTGCCCAACAGAGGAGAAAAACACAAGAGTTTGTGCTTATCCCCCGATTGCGCTGCGTGTCATTGAGGGCGTGTTTATAAATAGACTTTTGGAGGAGCGTGGGGCTCCCGGGGAGGCAGTGCTGGAGCGGTGCCTCCACATGATGTCAGCAGTGTGCTTTGGAGGCCAGCCTGCCAGGGGGGATGTAAAAATCTGCTCTTGGCAGCAGCATTGCATGGATAATGCCACAGGAGCTTGGCTCTTGAGCAGGGAGCTCAGGAGTGCCACATGCTGCTGCCCGCTCCCATCCCTCCCTTCAAGGGAGATGCAATATTTGATGTATTCTCCTGCCCCATCAGGTGGCTGCTGTTCCCTTATATTTTAATTTTTTAAATATTTTTTATTCTTTTATTCTTTTATTATTATTATTTATTGTTTTTATTCTTTTATTCTTTCATTATTATTTATTTTTATTATTTTATTATTTTTATTATTCTTATTTTATTTTTTTTTTCTTTTATTTTTATTATTTATTTTTATTATTTTATTCTTTTAGTATTATTTATTTTTAGTATTTTTATTATTTTTTTATTATTATTGCCCTTATTTTCGTGGTAAGCAAAAATCTCTCCGCACATCCTGCGTTTCTATTTTATTTTTCCCCACAATGTCACGGATTCTCTGGTGATATTATTGCTGATAGGGCAGAACACAGCGAGAATCTTCCCAAAATGATCAAAACCTGGGAGAGTTCTTCCCCTGCAGCTGCTGGGGGTGTCTGTGCTGGCACGATTCTGCACGATGGAACCGAGATGCTTTGAGATGCTTTCCCTTTCCTCGCAGGGAGGAATGGGCTTGGCTCGGTTTGGAGAACAGGCCGGGAGGAACGAGATGCATTTTTAAATGGTGACAGACGTTGCTGAGTGCAGGGACCCCTCCTCCTGCCAGCTGAGGTGTCCCAGGGCAGCATCCCCGGCTCTGAGCCCTCCCGATTGCCAGGGAGGGCAGCGCAGGCTGCCGAAATGATTCATGGAGAAATCTGCCCAAAATCAGCTGATCCCCAGGCTGCCGAGCCCCTCACCCATCCCTCTCCGTTTCCCCTCCCCTTCCAGCAGCATTCCCTCCCCCACCGCCGAGCCAGGCATCTCGGAGAAAGGCTGTGCCTGCACAGCCCGAGTGACAGCAGCAGGGACGGGGACGAGGACAGGGACAGGGACAGGGACAGGGAGCCGTGCCTGGGCTGGGAGAGCCTGGGCACAGCCTGCATCCCCCTAAAGCCGGGGAGAGCAGCCTGAGCACAGCCTGCATCCCTCTGGAAATGGGGAGAGCCTGGGCACAGCCTGCATCCCCCTAAAGCCAGGGAGAGCAGCCTGAGCACAGCCTGCATCCCTCTGGAAGCTGAGAGCATCCTCAGCAAAGCCTGCATCCCTCTGGAAACCTGGGAGAGCCTGGGCACAGCCTGCATCCCTCTGGAAGCTGAGGGCATCCTCAGCAAAGCCTGCATCCCTCTGGAACCTGGGAGAGCATCCTGAGCACAGCTCACATCCCTCTGGAAACCTGGGAGAGCCTGGGCACAGCCTGCATCCCTCTGGAAGCTGAGGGCATCCTGAGCAGAGCCCACATCCCTCTGGAACCTGGGAGAGCATCCTGAGCAGCGCCTGCATCCCTCTGGAAACTGAGAGAGCCTGGGCAGAGCCTGCATCCCTCTGGAACCTGGGAGAGCAGCCTAAGCACAGCCTGCATCCCTCTGGAAGCTGAGAGCAGCCTGAGCACAGCCTGCATCCCTCTGGAAGCCGGGGAGATCAGCTTGAGCACAGCCTGCATCCCTCTGGAAGCTGAGAGCAGCCTGAGCACATCCCGCATCCCTCTGGAAGCTGAGAGCAGCCTGAGCACAGCCTGAACCCTCTGGAAGCTGTGAGAGCAGCCTGAGCACATCCCGCATCCCTCTGGAAGCTGAGAGCAGCCTGAGCACATCCCGCATCCCTCTGGAAGCTGTGAGAGCAGCCTGAGCACATCCCGCATCCCTCTGGAAGCTGAGAGCAGCCTGAGCACATCCCGCATCCCTCTGGAAGCTGAGAGCAGCCTGAGCACAGCCTGAACCCTCTGGAAGCTGAGAGCAGCCTGAGCACAGCCTGAACCCTCTGGAAGCTGAGAGCAGCCTGAGCACATCCCGCATCCCCCTAAAGCCGGGGGAGCATCCCGAGCCCATCCCGCACCCCCCGGCAGCGCGCGGACCCCGCACCGGCCGCAGCTCCTTCTTTCCCTCCCTCCTCGGATGCTCGGCAGCGCAAGGAGGGCGGGATGGGATGAGAAACACCCCCGGCAAGCCCGGAGCCTTGTGATGAAAACAAGCGGCTGTGCAGCGGAGCAAAATGCAGCAGCAGCAGCGGGAGGCGAATAACGAGCGAGGGAAAGCAGCGGGAGCCGCGGGCAGGCTGCACAATTCCCCCCCGGCTCCCGAACCCAGCCCGTTCCTGCAGTTGCCTCTCGGCCGGAGGAGCCCCTGAGCCGGTTTTGTGTGTGTGTGTTCGTGTGTTGTTCCTGCCGGGAATCTCCTCGGCGCTCGGGCTCGCAGAATTTGCCCCGGAGTTTGGCAGGAGCTGAGCCCCGGGCGGTGGAGAAGGGAAGGAGGAATGAGCAGAGCCGGGATCCTGCGGATTCTGTGAGGCCACAGCTTCACGTGGGATCATGGGAGGGAAGCAGGTCAAATGGTGAGCGAATGTGTGCATCGTGATGGGTGTTTGTTAGAATCCGGGGCATCCAGGGGCTCGTTGTTCTGAAGCTGGGCTGTGCTGGAGGATCGGGGGCTCTGGGGAGGCAGGATGTGGGTTAAGGAACCAAGTGGTGGAAGGAATAAAGTGGAGCAGTTTGCATCATAAATCTCTCTTGGAAAGCTTTCATTTCCCAGCCCTGGTTCCTGCATGCTTGAATAGGGAATTGTTGTGCACTTTTAAAGGCGTTGCATCAGAGGCTGTTTCACTCTCTGATGGCTCAGATTGATACAGAACCTGGGCAAGTGTTTGCAGCATTAATTGGGTGATGCAGAAAGCAGTCTGACCTGTGCTGCTGCTTCAGCTGCCTCTGGCCCTGTTTGGGCACTGTTTGCAGTGTTTGGGAGGAGGTTGTGGATGCTGGCTGAGCCCAGGGGCCTTTGGAAATAGAAAAACCGCCTGGAAATGGTCTGGGGATGTGGGAATACCTCAGGAAATGTAAAGCTGTCTGTGCTGGGGGGACCTATCCCCACTTGTGATGCCTTTTCTCGGCATTGGGCTGTGGATCCCGTGTTGGGAGAAGCGGATGTGGAATGTTATTTCCAGGCTTGTTTTTCACCCTGCTCATCCTTTTCCCTTCCCCTGTTTCACCACCTTCTCTCCCATCTGTGCCTGGTGGTGTTTTTCTGGGACAGTTTCTGCATGGATGAGGACCAGCAGTGCCTCGGGGTGAGGGCAGGTTCAGAGCATCAGCTGGGAGCAGGAGGGAGGGAGGGAATTCTGAGATCTGTTCCTAGAAAGAAGTGAAATCCCTCCTGGAGCTGCTGGCCATGTCAGACCAGCTGGGCTTCCTGCTGGCGTCTGTGTGGTGTGAAAGTCCCATCCTTTCTTCTGGCCCTTGTTACGTAATGCAATCCCAGCAGAACTGCCAAATCAAGTCATAAACAGCATTTTTAAAAACCCCATAATTTTATGCCATGCCCCCATTCAGGAATAAGAAGGAGCAGGGGCTGGTTTGATATTAAATTGATATTAAATTTGATATTAAAAATATGTCTAATGAGGGACTGCTGTGATGGATTTGGAATTCCTGGAGGTAAATCCTGGAGCAAAGCCAGGAGTCCTTTAAGCATCAGGGACACACCTGAAAGGACTGGCACTGTCCCTGTGGGACATTTCTATTGGACATTGATTATTCTTTCACTTTAACTCAGGATGAGTCTGGGCCACAAAAATCTGGCCTCAGGTCTGTAATTTGAATGAGGAGAGGCTGTCCTGGCCGTGGGAGTGGGGCAGGCAGGAGCAGCAAGTCATTTCCATCTCTATTGCAGGGCTTGGCCCATTCTGTGGGAGCTGTGGGAGACGAGCAGCAGTGCTGGGAAGATGCAGGGAGGGAGCTGCTGAAGCCTCTTATTTTTCTAAACCTATTATATTATTTCCACACTGTTTTTTTTTTTTTTGTTCCCTGCCCTTTGCTTCTGTGTTGGGGGAGAATGAAAAATTAACTCCTGCTCGCACTTGCAAGGATTAATCCCTGCGACTTTCGGGGTACATTGAATGGGTCAGTGAGCTTCAGCCACCTTTTGATGTTGTCTGGGAGATGCACTCAGGAAGAATTCCTGAGAAAAAGATTGCTTGAACTTCCCAGTCAGCTGAGATGGCTCCTGTGAAAATATGTGGGCACTTCCAAGAAGTTTTAATCGAAGAACACGAGTGAGTGGAATCTGACTCTCAAATATATTGGGATTTAAAGTTGGAAAGATTAATCTGAAAGCTCTGGAGCAAGAGATGAAGCCAGGATGGATTTTTGTCCAGCATAAGGCTGGCAGTAAATGACTCCTCAGTGTAGTCCTACCCCAGTGTGAGAGTCTGAATTCAAGAAATTACATGTCCAGGCTGGGTTGTTGAAGGTTCCTCTGGGATGCAGATAATTCTTAGATAAAAGTGAATATGGAGAAATGCTTGTTCAAAATTCGTGTTGATTACCATAATCTCCAGCATCTAAAAGAGCTGTTCCTGCCTTGCTCTGCAGCCTGACCTCACCCAGCCCTGTGCACAGTGCAAAGAGTGAATCCACTGTAGCCCCCTCCGAGGAGAAGGAGAGGCTGGTGATCCTCCAGGCTGAAGAAACGGAGCCTAAACCAGGTAAAACCTTGGCATTGTTCTCTGTGACAAACTGGAAACGCTCCCCAGGGGCTGCAGTGGGTCAGTGCTGCCTCCAGGGTGTCCCTGGGCACCGAGGGATGCTCTGCAAAGCCCCCAGTGCTTCTCCCCCTCTGTCACCGTCCCCAGTGCTGAGCGTGGAGATCTCCTGAGTGCAGTTATAGATGAACTGTGTGTAGGACAGCCGGGATGGCCTCGGGAATGAGGCAGGGATCCTGGGGCAGCTGAGCTGTCCCCCTTGGCTCCGGCAGAGCAGCAGGGCCCCCGGGGCTGCCTGCAGCACACCCAGCCCCTCTCTCCTGCAGAAGAGGCCGAGGCTCACTTCCAGCCCGAGTGGCAGCCGGGGAGCTCTGGGTCCTACCTGGAGAGCTCATGGGAGGAGCAGCTCCTGGAGCAGCAGGACCACCTGGAAAAGGAAATGGAGGAGGCAAAGAAGATGATTTCGGGTCTGCAGGTGAGAGATTTCTCTTCTCAGAGAGTGCTCCCTCCCAGGGTCACCCAGCCCTGCGTCAGTCAGTCTGTCAGCTTGGATGAGCCTTCACTTTTGGCACGTTCTCCCCACAATTCATTTCTGGGGTCTTTCCCTCACTCCCCTCCCTGCCCCTCAGCCCGGTGTGTGTCTGGTGTGCCTGGGGAACAGAGCCCCTTGATCCATATGGTGAAGGCACTGAACTCTCTCAGAACATCCCTTTCTGTTTGTGCTGGGAACCACAGTGGCTTTGAATTGTAAATATTTATGTGGCAGTAAACAAAGCAGAGATTGTGTGAGGAGCACAGGCAGCTGGGCGGGCACTTTCCCCAGGGGACAATGGGCAGGACACAAAAGAGTCACCAAAAAAAAAAAAAAGAAAAAATTCCTTGGTTGACTGGTAAAATCCCTGCATTTTGTGCCCACTGGGAGCAGGGACTGGCACTGCTGCCCCCTCGTCCCCTGGGAGTGGGGAGAGGCAGCTGATGTGGCCAGGCAGGAAATTGGATTTGGTTCATCAATTTTCCTCCTCTTACTCAATAATTGGGAAGCTCCAGATTGTGACAGTTTGGTTGAAATGTTGGGGATCTGATGCACACACACCCTATAAGGTGCCGAAGCTGAGACTTCACTCCCTGGAAATCTGAGTTGTCCTTGTTTGGTTCTTTCTGTGGGGAAGAGCATGGGCTGACAGACCCCTGGGAGAGTTTGTCAGGGGATAAATCTTCTTGTTCATTCCTGAAAAATAAAAAAAAAACAACTCATTTTACTCATTTTTGAGGGGAACAAATCAGCAGAAATGGGAAATAAAGCTGGTTAGGAACTGTTGATAGGAGTGAAGCTCACCTCTTTCCCTTTGAAATCTCTGAAAATGAGATTTATTTTTTTGCCTTTATCTCCCCAGGCTTTGTTGCTCAATGGGTCTTTACCTGAGGATGAGCAGGAAGGATCCTTTGAGCTTTCAGAGCGTGGAGCCTGCCCTGAGGAGCAGCTGGTGAGCACAGCCCTGGACCCACTTTCCCTGCTGCAGCTGCCTCTGGGCCTGCCCTGCCCCTGCTGCACAATAACCACATTAATGCTGATGTTTTGCTTTCAGATCATCATCCGGAGCCGCCTGGACCAGAGCGTGGAGGAAAATCAAGATCTGAAGGTCAGAGGGTGACAGATTGTCCCACTTGATTTTTTTAGAGGAAAACAGGGTGGGGATGAAGCAGGGTGGGCAACAGGATGGATAAAACTGGAAATATTCAGGGTTATAGTTGAGGGATCCAACTCTGGAGGCTTGAGACCGGTTCTGATGCTGGGGAAGTGTTTGATGTTGGCCTGAAGGACAGATCTGGGGGACTGGGAAATCATTATTTTCCTCAGGACTTTAATAACAGAGCTCAGCTCTTTGTCATGTTTGTAACTCATTAAAGTGTCTCAGGCTCTAGGATCTGTGGCAAGAGGAGTGATGTGCTTCCTCCTGCAGGGAAAACACCAGCTCTGCTTGGTCCTGAAGGGGTTAACAACACAAGGTGCCGTTTAACCAAATTGTGTTGCATTTGCAGAAGGAGCTGCTGAAATACAAACAAGAAGCTCGGAACCTCCAGGGAATAAAGGTGAGGAAAGGGGCATTGCACCAAAAATGAACAGTAGCGCTGTAGGTGAGTAGGGCCAGCAGACAGCACACACCTCTGAGGAACCTCAGATTGTGGAAGGAGCAGTATTGGGGGATCCTGTGGTTTATTTCTGAATTTTTAGGCAGGTGCAAGGAGCTGGGTTTCCAGTTTTCTGCTCTGTCTGTAAGATTGTGGTCAAATATTCCCCTTTTTCTCTATTTCCCCCTGTTTCTCCTGAACAAAAAGAGGCATAAATTGGTTGGCTGGCTCTTTTATTCCCTTCTCTCTTGGAGTACCCACCCAGCAGCATTGGCCCAGTGAACTCATTCCTGGCAGCACAGGAAAAAGAGCCTGGGGTGTCCCTGTCCTGGCCAGAAACAGCTCAGTTTGTGCCTCTGGAGTGCCAGCACTGCTGATCTCCTCCTGGCAGGGGTATTTTTAGAGCTGCCTGTCAGAAGGGAGCAAACAGCAGTAGCTGTGCAAGGTGCAGCTCTGGGTGAGTGAAAGGTGCAGAATTAGTGCTGACTTTGGCCTCTGCCGAGAGGATTTCACTGCACAACTGGGTCACACTCAGGCCTTAAGGCTCCTTGTGTCCTGGGCTGGTCTTGGCCTCTCTGTGCCCTCGGGGTGAGTGGCTGGGGCAGGAGCCGCGGGGCTCAGCGCCCTCCAGAGCTGTTCTGTCCATCACAGCCAATACTCATCACTTCTGGAGAGGGAAATTCAGGCCGAAGCAGAGAAATCCCTCTGTGCTGGTGGCCAGAGCGTTGGCAGGGAAATCAGTTTTGGCTAAGGGAGAGGCAGGAGGGCTGAGAGCCCCGGGCAGCAGCTCAGGCCTGGGTGGCCACGGGGTGTTGTGGCCCCTGAGCCCCAGGCAGGGGTCCCTGTCCCCCCTGCCCTCCTGCAGAGGTCACCTCTCCCCAGGACGCCCTGCAGCAGAGGCTGCTCCAGCAGGACGCTGCAGTGCTGCAGCTCAAGCAGGAGCTGCTGAGAGCCAGCATGGACAAGGAGGAGCTGCACAACCAGAACGTGAGTCCCTGCTGCTGCTGAGGCTGTTTGGGGGGGTTGGTGGCCCCAGGGGTGGCTGCAGCAGAGATTTCAGGGCCGTGGGATAGTGAGCGAGCAGCCAGAGGTCTCTGCACAGCACAGGCTGCTCACAGGCCAGCTCTGGGGCTGGACATTCCTGGCCTTCACTCCCGCTTCCTGTCCTCCAGGACCTTCAGCTGGGACAGGGAGGGGCTTTCCCTGAGGTTTCCAGTGCTGTTGCATTTGTCCCTCCTCGTTCCCTGGCTCAGCAGGTGGCACCTGCCCTGTGCAGGTCTCTGTCCAAAGGTGCCACCCTAAACAGCAGCTCCCTTGCCCTCTGTAGGTTTCTGCTCACCCTTCAGCACAAGGGGCAGAGGTTTTCACTGGGAATGTCTGCCTCACACCTGGCTGTTACTCCTGCAGGTTGATCTCCAGAGGAAGGTTGAAGAGAGGAACCGGCTCCTGGCAGAGTACAAAGTAATGGAGCCTCTTCCATCGGGGGTTTGGGTGGATCTTCAGTTCTGGGATGGGATTGTTCTTTCCCTGGCACTTGGACAGCCCTGGGGAGGAGCTGTGGGAGCCAGGGGTGTTTGCAGTGAGGTGGGGGGATCAGAATTCTTTGCATTCCCCCCACGGCCTCCTGCAGATCTTTTATTGTTGGGTGTTGGTGGTGGCTGCTGTGTCCAGCGCTTGTGCAGATGAGGGTGGGTGCCCTGTTTGTGTCTGATCCCTGGGGAATCTGTGTGCTCTGGGACAGCTGTGTGACCTCAGCAGCGGCTCTTCAGCCAAGGGGACTTTGGGCAATAAAAACCTGATTGATCTTGTCCAAAAAAAGCTCTGACCCTCAGCTGTGACATCTGGCAAAGCACACCCTGTGCGAGCCACCTGATCCTGGCAGAGGACAGGATTTTCCCTGCCATGGGAAGATGACAGAGCCTCCCTCCTGCCCTGCTGACTCCCTGGCTCCCTGTGTTGCAGAAGGAGCTGTGCCAGAAGGAGCGGCACCTGCAGCAGCAGCAGAGCAAGCTGGATGAGATGCTCAGGCAGCTTTCTGAGGCCAGCTACCAGCAGGTAGGGAGGGCTGGGCTGGGCTGGGAGCTGCTCTGGCTGGCCCATGGGGTGCTGACTCCTCTGCTGCCCCTCCACAGGTGGATTTGGAGCGGGAGCTGGAGCACAAGGAGGCCCTGCTGGCTCACTGCATGAAGAGGGAGGCTGAGGAGGTACGGGAGCCTTGCTCTCCACCTGGGCTGGTGTTTGCCCAGCACCCTGCAGGGTCTGTCTCCAGGAACCCTCCCCTCCATCCCAGAGAGGTCTGGCTCTGCTTTCTCACTGACCAAGGCAGGCAGAGCCCCCAGCACTGAGCACTCTGGCTCAGCCTCTTGCCTCAGAATCCTCAGGGATGACAACAAGAGGCTTTCTCAGCTTCCAGCTTCACCTCTGACCATGCCAGTGGTTAGACCACAGCTCAGTTTACTTCCCCCTTTTCCTGCCGACCCTGGTATTGAGTCTTTCCACCTTTATGTGAAGAATCAGGTCTGTGCTGTGAGCAGGAATTCCCTGCACGCTTTAGGGAGCGTCTTTATCTGGGAGAAGATGGGAGCTTCATCCCTGATGTGGAAAGCTCTCATTCCCTCTCACTTTGAAGTGCATAAATGAGGATTTTTGGGGTGGTCCTGACCCTCACACACCTTCCCCTGCCCAGGTGATGGCTTTCAGCAGTCACAGTGCCCAGAGCAATGGCTTTCTGCAGCCAGCAGGAAAAGGAGCTGCTCCCCCAGCCCACCGAGGGGTAAGTGCCCCTTAGGGCTGCATTCCCAGCCACATATCCTGGAATTTTTCTTTCATTCCGAGAGGTTTCCCCTTGCTGGGGAGGCAGCCCCGGGCTGGGGTGAGCTGTGCTGTTTTGGGCAGACCAGCGACCTGCAGCTGGTGCGGGACGCGCTGCGCAGCCTCAGGAACAGCTTCAGCGGGCACGACCCGCAGCACCACACCATCGACAGCCTGGAGCAGGGCATCTCCAGCCTCATGGAGCGCCTGCACCGCATGGAGACGCACAAGAGGCAGGACAGGAGGGTAAGGGCTCCCCAGGGGACGCAGCTCCTGCCCCTCGCACCCCAGCCTGGCCCTGCCGCGGAGGTGACGCGCTGTTGTTTGGCTTTGTGCGCCAGGTGAGGGGGAAATCGCCAGCAAGCAGAGCAACCAACGAGTGCAGAGACTCCTGGCCCCCCAAATCCAGTAAGTGCCTGGCAGATCCTGCCCTTCCACTGGTGTAGAATCCCCCTGGGAATCCCAAATCCACTGCTCAGTTCCCAGGTGTAGAATCCCCTTGGGAATCCCAAATCCACTGCTCAGTTCCCAGGTGTAGAATCCCCCTGGGAATCCCAAATCCACTGCTCAGGTTCCCAGGTGTAGAATCCCCTTGGGAATCCCAAATCCACTGCTCAGTTCCTGGGTGTAGAATCCCCATGGGAATCTTCCCCTCCAGGATCCTCCCTGGAGCAGAGCTCCTGCAAAGGGAAGGGACTCATGTTTATGGCTGGTTTTCTGTAAAAAAAAAAATAAAATCCACCATCACAGTGCTGCTCTGGGCCTCTTGGGCAGTGCTGCAGCAGGAATAATAAGCATGGCAATCACTGGGAAAAGGGATGTCATCCCAGCGCTCTGCTGCTGTGCACCATCTAGTGGGGACAGAGGAGTGTTCCCTGCTCAGTGTTTACTGCATTTCACATCCACAGAATGAAACACCACATCTCCTTTTTAAACACCCCATTTCTATGTGTGCAAAGTACTTTCTGCATAAAAGGAGCACTGAAAGTGTGGAGTTGAGTTCCTCTGTTTCAGCTCTTGGGGGGAAGCAGGAAACAAGGCAGGAGCTGCGGAGAGAAACACAAATGGGCAAATTAAAATCCACGCACCACCGTCCATCCTGGCCAGCAGGGAAGCGAAGCTGGGGAGGGATAATGATGACAAGGGATGATAATCAGGGAGTTGCTGCCTTGCAGAGCTGCCTCACTCTCAGAGCACGCCCGTGATGAGCACCAGTGCCTGCACCAAAGTGTTGTACTTCACCGACCGCTCCCTCACCCCCTTCATGGTCAGCATACCAAAGAGGTGAGCCTGGCCTTCCTAAGCCTCCTGTGCCCCTAAAACCAGCGCTCTGCTTTCCTGGGCATGCTCCCAGCCAGCACAGGTTTGCTGTGCTTTAACTGGATTTCATGCTGTTGGCTGGGGAAGATTATCTGCAGTGGTCCCTGAGCTTTGTTTTTGTGTTTTGCATTTGCATTTATTTCCCTTGCAGGTTAGGGGAAGTGACTCTGAAGGATTTCAAGGCAGCCATTGATAGGGAAGGAACCCATCGGTACCACTTCAAAGCCCTGGACCCAGAGTTTGGCACAGTGAAGGAGGAGGTAAAAGTGGGACTGGCCTTGGGATCAGTGTCAGCACACAGCCCTGGGGACCATGGTCACCTCACTTTTAAATTCATGAAATAGTGGATGTTCCCCCAAACAAAAGTGTCTGCCTTCCCAGCTGTGGGTTAAGCTCCTGTTGTGCTAAAATATTTTCATCCTCAGCAAAAGCAGCTCCATGGATGTGGCTGTGACTGCCTGGGAGCTGCAGAGCCCCTTGGGCAAAGCCAGCCTGTGACACAGCCCAGGGACACAGCAAAACTCTGGGCTGCAGGTTTAATAAACCCTATTGCAATGGGAGAGCCCGCATTAAGCATACAATCTCTTCCTTTTCTCTGAAGGTTTTTCAGAGAGAACTCTGTGTGTGTGTGGCATCGTTCCCTTTGTGTGCTGCAGTGCAGCCTGTTGTGCTCAGGCTGGTGTGGGTGTGGATTGGATTCATCTCAGGTTGTTGGGACAGTTCTTGCTTCACAAATTGATTAGGGCAGGGGCAAAGGGCCACCCTCTCTGGGGACAGGCAGCAGCAGCAGCTGGAGGTCGTGGTGTGGCTCAGAAAAGGCGTGATTCCTGTCTTTAGTTTACCTTTAATGTCAAAAAAACCAGCCGATGATAACCCTGATATTCATTGGTTAATGAGGCCTGGTCTGTTATTTACCTAAATTGTGAAAATGTGACTCATACCTCAGCCATCACTGCCATGTGTTCCCTGGATTATTTTGGGAAATCTGAGCTAGGGTTTGACTTCATGCCCCTGATGCCACTCACACTGCAGAACCCTGTCTCCAGACCCCAGACATGACTGAAATCCTTTATTTCTTTAATTTTTTTTTTTTTTTGTAGGTGTTCCATGACGACGACATCATTCCTGGCTGGGAGGGGAAAATCGTGGCCTGGGTGGAAGAAGACCACGGGGAGAATTAATGGAGCTTTCAAGCCCTGTTTCTATGGAAACCTGTGACTGTCTGCAGAGCTCAGAGAGTGACCAAGGAGCCCAAGTGCTGGGAGGAGGCCAATTCAAGCTGCCAAAAAAGAGCCTCTGTGCCAGCCACGGGTGGTGCAGGCTGTGTGCATGGACAGCTGGCACCTGAGTGCCCGTGCCCGAGGGCAGCTGCTGTCCTGAGGCTGCAGGGATGGCTCTGTGGGACAGAAACACTCGGCTCAGCCCTGCCAGCAACGTCCTGGAGGCCTTAAGGATGCTTTGCCCCCTTCTCCTCCATCCCTGCACCGTGTGCCGTGGGCTCAGCTGGGCATCTCCTGTGCTGCTGTCACAGAAAACTGCACTGATGGTGAAAATGCGAAGCTTTGCCTTCATGGAGAAGAGGTTGCTGGATTGTGGGAGCTGAAGCTGGACCAGCTGTTGTCCTGCAGGAGCAGAGTGACTCTGTGGACATTGCAGGCTGACAGGACCTGCTCTGGGTGGGGGAAGAGTCCTCTGGAGGATTGATGCATGGTCTGAAACAAAGCTCACCAACCTTTCTCCCAAACTCAGGCTCCCAGCCCTGCTTTCCCCACTTCCCAAAGCTGTTCCCATTTCCGAGCCCCTCGGGGTTTGCTCTGCAGCTCTGGGGACTGTGGGATGTTGGAGCTGTTTGTTTGCTGAAGGATTTCACGGGTGGGGGAGCTGCAATCAGCTGCTCCCTGAGGTCTTTGCACCACTGTCCTTGCTGAGCCTCCTCGCTGCTGTCACCTCCTGTGCACAGGCATCCCCTGCTGCTGTCCCCGCTGCCAGGGCCACCAAGCACTTACCCACACCAGTTCCTGGCTATGCTGAGTCCTGAAGGATCAGGAGAGAACTGCTGGGGGAATAACAAGCCCTACAATCCCCCAAGGGACGGGTTTTCCCTTTGGTTTTGTGGTTTTGTTTCTCTACATTGCCCGTGGGCTTGGGAGGTCAAATGGGCTCTGCTCCTTCCCAGCTCCTGTGGGACTGTCTGTGTGTGCTGTGCATGAGGCTGGGAGAGGGGGCAACCTGGTTTTACTGTTTTATATTAACATGTCCTTTTGTAAACCTGTTCTTGAAATTATTTTGTACCGATTCACATTTGTCTGAGGACTGTGGATTATTTTTATACTAGTGCAAGTGCTCTCTGTATATTTCTGCACGCATTATACTGTGTTTTACTCCTTTCCTGGTGGATGCTGAGATGTTTTGTATCGTCTTCTGTTGACATAACACTGGCCTTGTAATTTTATCTTATTATGGAAATCCAACTGGTTGATACTGGGTTTTATATCAAGGTTCCTACGTGGTTTTGTGCCACATTGGCACAACACAAGCTGCCTCCTGTTCTGGACAATTTGTGTGACTTTCTGCTTACAGACAGCGGGAGGAAAGTTCATCCATGAACAGGTTAATTAACGAGGGAAATACATCCCTTTGGAAAAGAAACAATGATTTTCTTTCTCCCCTGGACACAGTTTCTCTGTTGCATGGTCTCTAGTGAAGAGGGCATGGGCTTGTGATACTGAGATCAATTGTATTTGAACTGCAAACTTCTCACGAGTGTTTCATTCTTTGGGTTTTACTCATCGGTTTTATTCCAGCAACAGCCACACACCCGGGCTGGACTTTCATGGAGCAAATTTAAAAGCTTTTCAAGGTCTGATGTTGGCCAGCCTCGTGTCCTTCTCTCCTATCCAGAGGAGCAGTTTGCTTTGGTGAGGTTTCTCCCCCATCAAAGCAAAAGGTGTCAATTTTAAATGAGTTTTAACAGATGTCAATTTAAAATAACTTGAAGAGATTTTGCTACAAGATCAAGTTGACAAGTATAGGAACAGGAAAGTAACTCTGAGGAAATTGGCAGAAATAAACCAATTGTAAACAGTGAAACAGACAAGCCTGGGATATGGCAGCGAGAGCACACCTCAGAACAAACCCACCCTCGTGGGAAGAACTTGCTTAGCTTGAGGTAGAACTTGGTATGTTTTAGTTTAGGACTGAACGGAGCCCTGACTCTGGGTGTATTTAATGTGTTCTGCCCCATCCACAGCCCCTTCCTTGGCCCAGCCTAAGGGCCGTTCCCGGGGAGTAGAGCCGATCCGCGGCTGTCCCTCTTTCAGGGAGCTGTGCAGAGCCAGAGCGTGCCCCATATCCCATTTTCTGCCGTCTGAGCCCCGTGCAGAGCCAGAACGTGCCCCATATCCCATTTTCTGCCGTCTGAGCCCCGTGCAGAGCCAGAACGTGCCCCATATCCCATTTTCTGCCGTCTGAGCCCCGTGCAGAGCCAGAACGTGCCCCATATCCCATTTTCTGCCGTCTGAGCCCCGTGCAGAGCCAGAACGTGCCCCATATCCCATTTTCTGCTGTCTGAGCCCCGTGCAGAGCCAGAACGTGCCCCATATCCCGTTTTCGGCAGGCTGAGCCCCGTGCAGAGCCAGAACGTGCCCCATATCCCGTTTTCGGCAGGCTGAGCCCCGTGCAGAGCCAGAACGTGCCCCATATCCCGTTTTCGGCAGGCTGAGCCCCGTGCAGAGCCAGAACGTGCCCCATATCCCATTTTCTGCCGTCTGAGCCCCGTGCAGAGCCAGAACGTGCCCCATATCCCGTTTTCGGCAGGCTGAGCCCCGTGCAGAGCCAGAACGTGCCCCATATCCCGTTTTCGGCAGGCTGAGCCCCGTGCAGAGCCAGAACGTGCCCCATATCCCGTTTTCGGCAGGCTGAGCCCCATGCAGAGGCAGAACGTGCCCCATATCCCGTTTTCGGCAGGCTGAGCCCCGTACACTGGCCGCTCCGGGCAGAGCGGCGCCGAGGCGGTGTCTGAGGCGGGGCCTGAGGCGATTCTGAGGCGGTGCCGAGGCTTTGCTGAGGCCGTGCCGAGGCGGTTCCTGAGGCGGTGCTGAGGCGGGCCGGTTCCCGCCCGCCGCCGCTTTACGGCCGCCCCAGTGTCGCGCCGCGCCGCCCGCACGGAGGTCACCGAGCGCCGCCGGCCCCGGTGCGCCCGGCCCAGCCCAGCCCGGCTGCAGCCCAGCCCCAGCCCCAGCATGTGGCGGGTGTTGGCGCGACGCGTGTCCCGGGGCGCGGCCGGGCCGCCCGGCCTGGTGCGGCCCCGCCGAGCGCTCGGGGCCGGGGTCGGGGCCGGGGCTGGCCCGGCCCGGCGCGGCCCGGTCTGGGGCGGCCCCGCGCCTCGCCCGCTGCTGCCGCCACCGGCCTGGCCCCGGCTCGTCCCGCGCCGCTGCTGCAGCCTCCCGGCGCACCAGAAGGTGAGAGTCACCCCCGGAGCCTGCCCCGCCTGTCCCCTGTGTCCCCCTCGCTTTCCCCCTCACTTTCCCCTTCCCTTGCCCCTTCGCTGCCCCCTCGCTTTCCCCTATCGCCCTGCCTCTTCGCTCTCCCCCTCCCTCCTTGGCTTTCCCCTTCCCTTTCCCCCTCGCTTTCCCCCTCGCTTTCCCCGTCCCTGCTCCTTCCCTTTCCCCTCTCCGTTTTCCGTCCCCTCCCCGTGCGGCTCACTTTGCTCACTTTGCCCCGGGGATTGAGTTATGGGATCATCGAGGTTGATAAAGTCCTTTAGGATCAGCGAGCCAGCGCTGCGCTGGAGCCCCCCACCCGCACGGCTCTTGGATGCCCCCGGGGATGGGAATTCTGCCGCCTCTGTGGGTAATCCTGTTCCAACGCTTGGCCGCCCAAACTGGGAGAAAATCGGTGGTTTTTGTGTCTTTGGCACCACTTAGCCTCAAGTCCCTGCGTGGCTGTTGGGTGCTCCCTCCATCACCTCTGTCCTTTATCCCAGCTCCCTGTTGGCCCTTGGCAGACCCGGGCCGAGCCCTGGCTCTCTGTAACCCTTTCTTGGGGGAATCACGGAGTGCTAAGGGGTTGGAATGGACCCTAAAGCCATGTGCAGGGACACCTTCCACTGTCCCAGGTTGCTCCAAGCCCCACCCAGGCTGACCTTGAACACTTCCAGGGATGGGGCAAGCACAGCCTCTGCCCTCAGCACCCACCGTGGCTTTGCCAGGGTCCTTCACCGGCAGCTTGGGGCAGTGCTGGGGATTTGCAGCAGATCTGTGCCCCACATCCAGGCTGAGCTGAGGATTTGTGTCTGTCCCCTGTGTGCTGCCTGGCTGTGACACTGCCCTGTCCCTCACAGGTGGCACTGCCAGCGCTGTCCCCCACGATGCAGATGGGCACCATCGCGCGCTGGGAGAAGAAGGAGGGGGACAAGATCAACGAAGGGGATCTCATAGCAGAGGTATCCTGGGGACCAGGCTGTGCTGAAGGGGATCTATAGCAGAAATATCCTGGGGACAAGATCAATGAAGGGGATCTATAGCGGGGCTATCCTGGGGACAAAGCTGAGCTGAAGGGGATCTCATAGCAGAAATATCCTGGGGACCAGGCTGGGCTGAGGGGGATCTATAGCAGAAATATCCTGGGGACAAGATCAATGAAGGGGATCTATAGCGGGGCTATCCTGGGGACCAGGCTGGGCTGAGGGGGATCTCATAGCAGAAATATCCTGGGGACCAGGCTGGGCTGAGGGGGATCTATAGTAGAAATATCCTGGGGACCAGGCTGGGCTGAGGGGGATCTCATAGGGGATCTCATAGCAGAGCTGTCCTGGGGACCAGGCTGGGCTGAAAGGGATCTATAGCAGAAATATCCTGGGGTTAAGTCTGAGCTGTCTCTCTTGAGCTGCATGTCTGGCCTGGGGGCTGTCCCTGGCTGAATGCAGATTTTGGATCCCAAGGGATGCTGGTGGGAAGGAGTGGCTGTCAGCCTCTCAGAGCTGGTTTGAGGGCACACTTCCCTAGAGCTGCTGCCTCAGAGTGATTTTTCCAGAACTGTGACCCTCCAACAGACTGGGAGGCTCTGGGCTCACCATTTACTGTTCTCTCTCAAAGGTGGAGACAGACAAAGCCACGGTTGGCTTTGAGAGCCTGGAGGAATGTTACCTGGCCAAGATCCTGGTGCCTGAAGGAACAAGGGATGTTCCCATTGGGGCTGTAATATGTATCACAGTAGAAAAGTATGTATTTTCCTAACCCTTGATGTGAATTCCCCCTCTTGGGGCTTCTGGGATGCCTTGAGTGAAGGACAGACCATCACCTGATGGGCTTTGGGGCTCTGTGTGTTCTTCTAGGCCTGAATACATTGATGCCTTCAAAAACTACACCCTGGATTCTGCAGCAGCTGCTGCCCCCGCAGCCTCAGTGCCTCCCCCTCCAGCTGCAGCCCCCTCCCCACCACCTCAGCCTTCTCCTCAGGCCCCTGGCAGCTCTTACCCTCCTCACATGCAGGTAAGAGAGCACTGCTCCTGCTTTAAGGCTTCTTGCACTCTTTTTCTGCCCCAGCATTGCTGCCTGTGGGGCATTTTGTCATAGAAACTGTCTGGAATGGGAATTTATTGACTGTGCCACTTCAGTTGTGGTGTGCTTAGAGCAGGTGTTGGGGGACACCCCAGAAAGCTTTTTTAATGAATTCATTTCAGCATCCCAGCTGCTGGTGGAGGAGAGACTTGTGCCTCCAGAGTTGTTGCTTTGAAAAATGTGCCAAATTTGCATTTTTTGGACAGTTGTGGTGTAAAAATTCCTTGTGCTTAGTGTGAGTAGGCTCTGCTCATATCTCAGAGCAGAACTCCAGCCTGTGGTGCTCTGGTGACCACACCAGAAATGTCCGTGGGTGACCAATAATGAATTGTGTTTGTGGGTAGAACCTTTTTGCTTTGCTTGGGT